AGACCAAGGCAATGCCGAAGACCGAGCCAGAATAACGGGCTTATCAAGGGGCTGAGTCATCGGCATGTCCTAAATCCAACAACCAGACTCAACGGCACGTGAATATACTCAAGATTCATGACCAACAAAAAGACTTGCGACTCGTCAGATCAACTGGAGTTTTAGGGAGTTCCATAAGGGACGCGTTTATACTTGATATTTGTATAGGACTATAGGGAGCACTAATAACTAGATAAGCCCATAATGGTAAAAAACAGAACATATTTCCTATCAACCTCAAGAGTCAAGTCCGACCACTCAGCGGTAAGTCCTGTGTGGTGTAGTGTCGTACTTGGTAGGTAGGATTATGCCTGTCGGTGTGCACACGAACTAGTGTTCTATGCTGTACGCCCGTGGCAAAGCCAAGAGATTTCGCAGTGTGTATTGGGTATTAGGGCGAGTCTTCACCATTGAGATCCTGCCATACATTGGGAGGCGAATCGACAGTTAACGAGTCTTCGCCATACATTGGGAGGCAAGGCTTCGTCATTCTTATTAATCCAGCGCGGGATTAACCCCGGCACCCAAGTATAGATCCGTATAAGACCGGTACCCTTCCACTATTGGGACTACGTGGTAAATTGAGTGTGTGTGGGCATCCTAGTCTTCCCGTGACTAGGATTGCCGAGGTTTCAGTGGTTGGCCAGCGGAACTACAGTACACAGAAACACAGATCAACCCGGTGCAAGGGATCGTACTAAGGCCTTCGGGTTCTTGTGTTGACCCCAAATAATCCTGCTAAGACTTCATGACGAAGTGGGTGTTGTTGGAGGGAGGTGTGCCTATATTTTGGACGTATTCCGATACGACAACTGATGCCACGACCCGGGATTGGTGGTGACCTTCTGTGTGTTGTGCTACCGCAAGTCGATTGACTTTTCGGGCAACAACCAAGAGAAGAAGAGAAGAGAAGAAGGAGAAAACAAGAAAAACAAGAAACAATGGCTAAAGGATCGAATTCAGTGGTACCAGAAAACCCTGCGAAGACTGGCAGGACGGACGACTACGACACTGAAATGCTGGTAGAACACCTGACACTGACGAGTACACGGGACGCTCGGTCAGCTTCGAGGAGGACGCGAACGAATCCGGCGAAGCCATGGATGAGGACTACGACCTCGAAGAGAAAAAGGATATCCCAGAAGACGTTATTCTGGCGGCGGAGCGGTGCGAGGCCCCTAACCCGGAATCTTATGGACGAACTTGACGAAGTCGTCGGACCCGAACCAGCATTTGGAGACGATGACGACGAGGAAGAAGATGATAGCGATGACTCGAAACAAGTCGTGACGATGTCTCAAGCCACAGAGCAAAAGACAGGTTATTGGCCACCGATGAATGGAGACACCCCAGCAGCAAACAAGGTTCTTGATCGCACATTCGAGGAAATAATGGAGAAGAGTACGTGGATCAGGCTATTCGAACCGAAAAGAATTAGACAAGCAGTATGGGCGGACATTAGCCACGTGCTGGCTGTAGCCAGTGACAGCCACGACGACTGGACAAGTCGCGAGTGACACGGTGTAGTTCCTTAAGTCGATAGGCTTACAAGCGCAAGCCACACCAACACAAGCAGTCTTGGAGTCGTGGATCCCTGCCGAAGCTGGCGCGGATTTATGGAAATGGAGACGTAAGCTGAGAGTCGGTTTCGGAGTGACTGACATTCACTATTCTCAACCTCCAGTAGGAAAGACATCTGGTGGAGGTGTCGACCCGTCGAAGATTCCACTTCCGAAGACGCATTCAAAGGGATACAACACCGGGCCGAAGTCTCATGACGTTTTTTCGAAGTCAGGGGACGAGACACCCTACTTCCAAGACTCACACATGATAACTCCTATGTCTTCGGGGAAGGAAGAGCAATCTGATCGCGATAGCGGACGCGCCAACGCGACTAGGAGCACGATACGAGGTTCCCGACGAAACTGGGATAGAAATCAGTACGATAAGAACGACTCCTCCTCGGATGACGACGATGACGCTTATAGACGCCCTCAACAAGACGGAGTCCTGAATGAATATATAAGACAGATCGAGAAGGCCTCGAGTCCCGAAGGAGAACGTTGGACGCAAAATTGAACTTGCGACGGATCGTCCTCTACGACAAATTCGTGCGTTCTCGGGTCTTCGGAACAAAAGTGAGAATTCGATGCAATGGCTGCGTGGATTCGTATATGAGATGAAGGGAACTCGAGCTAGTCCCGATAAGTGGTGCATGCCTTTCCAACTAAGTTGGAAGGATGGTGCGTTACATTGGCACCGACAACTGCCGAAGAAGACCAAACGTACATGGAGTCTTCTCAGCAGTTCGTTTATTAGATACTACTGCGCTCAATACAATCCAACTGCAGAGACTCGCTATTACTCAGCAAAGCGAGAGGACAAAGAACACCTTTGCGATTACCTGAATCGACTTAACGGGTATGCGAGGAACGCGGGCAATACAATTCGACAAGGGAGGCCGAAAGGCACGAGATCACGTGAAGCGTTTCCTGGAAACTTGTGGCGATCGCGGACTCGAATGGAGGTTATGCCATGTGAAGGTATACGACATCCACGAACTAGAAGCGGTGATTATTAAAATCCTGAAGGTGGATGATCGCTAATCGGCGAAAGGGCCTTCTCAATCACGATCCCGAAATCATGATACCAGTCGATCCAAACGTAGTGACCACCCGAGAGACAGCTATACGCGCAATGATAGCCGTGACAGAGATTTTGGGCGCCGTCGCGATGACTCACGAAACATCCTACGAGTCACCTTTACAGAAGGAGCGAGAGCATCTGAAGTCCAAAAGACGTACACGAGTGATGAGGATGATCGTCACGATATTTACGATGGCTATAATGATTATGATAACCATGATGGATGGAATTCCGATGAATCGCGATACACCAACGAAGAAAGAGAAGAAAACGATGATTCTGCTGATGAAGAAGACATTGTGGCAGCGGCCAATGAAATAGAACGTCGAAATGAAGCGGACGGGACGCACGCTAGATAGGACGCTAGAGTCCCAAAGTCTGAACAATCGCGAGGTTTTAACCGAGACAATCGGTTCCAGCGGCAATATAACACTGATTGTTTCCCACGACGAGAGTATGGGCCCTGTGGGGCATGCGGCGATGTGTCGCACTCGACTCACTTTTGTCGAAGCCGCTGCAATTTCTGTAAACAAGTCCACGAACCTGGACGGTGCGAAGTCTTTCATGAACTGACTAAACTAGTCCGTACCAAGGTGGATAAGAAGGACATCGCGCCCGAACTTCAGCCCTTACTCTTCGGTGAACCTTTAAACTAGGCAGCCCGTCAACTTTGACTGGGTTGATCCAAAACGGGCTGCCACAGTTAGCAGAACCTGCGATTGAAGCTGAGGGTGTATATGCTTTTGTGGGGGAGTGCGAATGTCCAGGTGAATTGTATGATTTCGACGGAAAATGGATTAAAGAGGAATAACAACCTCGGTGGAGATGATGTTGTGAGGAGTACCGAAGACTCACCTGGAATGAAGGCAGAAGAAATAGTCTCAAGTGTAGTCTAGGAAGCTCCAAGACGAAAGTTAAACAAGGAAGTCCGACTTCTACCCGGTGAGAGAATGGGTTGGTGGTCGGCTCAAAAGTTCGATAGGAGAGTGAGGATGCGGACGCTGGTCGAAGGAACAGTCAATGACCAGAGAACCCGAATACTCCTGGACACGGGAGCAAACGTGAATATCGTGTCGGCACGATATGCAAAGAAGTTGGGTTTCCCCGACATCTCAAATCAAGATTGTAGCATGGATACCCAAGGAATTTCAAAAGAAAAAGCTACGACGACTCGAAGAACGACTGTAAAGATAACGCTGGGCTGGGAACGAGTGTATGTCTTCGACATGTGGGTGATCGACCATTGTGCAGGGGTGGATGTCCTCTTAGGGACTGATTTTATGATCCTGCAGGAGTTCGGCTGGATATGTTCCATTCGAACGCAAAACTCCCCGATGAAGTGTCCATTTCGCTTATAAAGACACAAACAATGACGAATGAACCGGAAATAAACTATGAAGTCAGCGGACCGATCACCACGATGAATATTCCTAGACGGGAATGGAAAATGTTTTAAGTTTCAAAGAGACATCCGTCGCTGAAGACTCACGATGCTTGGATTAGGAGGACGGAATCTGTTGTGCCTACTGCCACGAGTTATCGAAAAAAATGCCCATATCTCGTGAGATTGACTAATACTACCGACCATACGGTGTACTGTACAGCCCACCTTCCAATATTGGCATGAGTTCCTCTAGGACATCTCCCACGAGATATAGGATACGTACGACTAGACTCGATGAAGTACACCGAATGGCAAGTGTTGGCTTATGCAGAGGTACGTAACAAGGACCTCTACAAAAAGAAGAAAGCTCTATGAACAATGGTTAGTCACTCAACCATCAGCCGTCGAACGGCCGGAGTACATACATCCAAGCTCAATACTCAGACATGAGTTGAATAAAATAGCTGGTGACAACAACCTGAATGGAGACAGGAGTGACGCGCAAAGGAGTAACGTGAAGGAGAGTGCAGATATCTGGATTGCAAATACAGGGGTGACAGTGAGAACGCCTGACGATGACTCGTCTTGCAGCGAAGATAGCAGCGACGACTTAAAGGAAGGGAGTTCCTCAGAGGTTACACCCAAGCTGGATTTTGGAAGTAGCATCACGGCCTTAGAGAATTCGTTCATCTCGGTTGTGAAGGCCATAACCACCAAAGGATATGAGTCCGCGGAAGATGATGTAGTCTACGTGCATGAGCCAGCCGACGTCGACCTAACCGACTATGCCCAAGAATTAGCATTCCTGCCTGACTTATCAGACCATTCACCAACATAACTCGGCTTTTCGGCAGCGAATGTGTTGAATCCTACTCTATCTCTCGACGATCAAGCAAAGTTAGTGAATATCTTGAAGACCCACAGAAACATAATGATCGGCAGTGGTAATGCCTTACCAACACCAGCATACGGGATAGTCAGTGATATAAATGCGGACCCATCAAGCAGCGAGCTCGTCGGATTCCAATACGATATCTCCAGAAGCTCCACTTGCTGCTGAAAGGACTGTTGAAAGCAAATCTAGTGTCATTTTCCGACAACCAGTGGGCTTCACCAATTGTGATAGTCCTGAAGAAGAATGGCCAAGACATCCGACTATGCATTGACTATAAAATGGTCAACGCGGTCACAGCCATAATGAAGTATGCTATGCCGTTAGTTGACGATTTGCTCACGGACCTAGACTCTTATTTGTGGTTCTGCTCACTCGACGCAGTGAGTGAATTCTGGGCCAACATGAAAACGCATAGGGCTCACAAGATATCAGCATTCGTTTACCCACTGGGGCACTTCGAATGGCTCCGAATGCCATTCGGACTTCAAAATGCACCGATGATTATGCGCTGTGGGGATTCGTGCAGCCGACGGGTGGATGGTGAATTTTCGCAGACAAGATGAAAGCTGCTGAAGTCCTCGCGAAGGGTCAAAACGAGTACAGTGCCGAACACTCTGCTAAGTCATGGGGTGAACCACCGATGGCCAAAACCAAGTTTGCGGCTGCCCAAGAAGATGTAGGAATTCAGGATCCTGTATGAAATTAGTGAACGACCCGGTGTCTGACATGTTCGTAACAAACGAAGTCGATGAATCAACACTCATACCGTTCTTCGACAGGAGGTCATTCTTTGATGATATCTGCTTTGGAGGAAAGTCATTTGATGACTGTCTTACGACTTTAGATCGTCTCTTGACTCGATTCACAGAATGCTGTATCAGCATCAGCTTTACCAAAAGTATATTCGTTCAACCGGGAGTCGAATTCCTTTCTCACGAAGTATGGCACGAAGGAATTCGAGCTAATACTAAGAAGTTAGCCGCAATCAGTAACCTATCGTTTGCACACACAAAAGAGGGATGCAATCCTTCTTAGGACTACAGTAAATTCATACAAGACTTTGAAGTCTTCCGTGCAGCACTATACCAATTAAAATATGAAAATTTTGATGAATATGGTGACTTAATGACAGCACGCCGAAGTTTCGAAGTGCTAAAACAGAAAGTAGCCGAAGCTCCGATTCTTCGGCACTTTGACAGAACAAAGGAAGTTCATATCATGGTCTTCGCCAGCTCTTCTTCAATTGTGTGAGGACAAACCCCATCCTGTGCGATTCTGTGGTCGAGTCTTGAATGACGCGGAGATGAATTATCACCCTGCGGAGAAGGAGGTGTTAGCACTGCTATTTTTACTGAAGACTTGTTATACACAACTAGCTAAACACACCTTACATGTGTACACTAGATTCTCAACTTTGGAATGGATAGCCAACTCCAAGTCACTTTTCGGAAGAGCGGTCCAATGGGCGGTGCTGCTATCTCCTTGGCAACTGATTGTCCAGCGGATTAAAGAAAAGGCTTAGCGTTTCACGAATTGCTCCAGTCCACGGTAACGAACTTTGTGGATATTGATGACTCGTTGGAAATAATAGCACCACCTCAGAAGGGATCACTGACTGCTCGGATAGACCCACAACTTCTCTATGCCAAGCTGCCTCTCGATTATTCGGGACTTGTCGTATCTTTCGACGGCTCAGCGAAGACTGACAAGAACGGAGGATATGGGAGCTGTGCATTGGTGGTGTGGCGTCTACCTGAATGGACGATAGTGCTTGCTGCGAATGCGTACCTGGAGTCAACAACAGTGAACGTAGCGGGATACATTAGGATGGACAGAGGAGTGAAAGCGGCACTTGAACTGGGTGCCGACAATTTAGTGGTTGTAGGTGACTCCAGGGTTGCCATCCAGTAATCCCTAGGGGTGATTGCATGCCGAGAGAAGACGCTCATGACCCAATTGAACTACCACAAAGAACTGACGTCAAAGCTAAAGTACCTTCATATTGTGAGAGAATTCAATGCAGCCGCAGACTCACTTGCGCCGAGGCACTGGAATCTATAACGTCAAAAGTGGTGTTAGACGAAAACGTGAGTTAGTAGGACTCAATCGCATCCGAGAAGTAATCTATGACTCCAGCCAAACCAAAGCAGCAGTAAAACCCGTTGCTGAAGACTCAACTCAATTTTTGAACACAATCTCAGCCTCTCGGTCCAAACCATTTGCAGACTTTGTTCAGACAGTTATGAAACAATCAACAAGCTCCGTGTTGGCCGTGACAAGGAGCCAGACGACAACTCAGAAGAAGCGTGTGCGCCTTGCCGACGATTCAGTGGCAATCCCTGAGGCAACCATACCAAAACCAATGCCGACAGAGGATACTGGAAATGCGCCAATGAATCCTACGAAGACTGGGACAAACGAGTGCCAGACGCAAGTGACGTCGACCCAGCGGCGATACAAACAGAGCGATGACGGAGAATCGCTATCACCCAAGACGAAGAGCTAAAATGGCTTAACCTTAAAACGGTGTTGCGAGGAAAGCCGGACAAACTTAAATATAGAGCTGCTCGAGACGTGTGGAAAATTGCAGAGCGATTTTTCCTGACTGACGACAATGTGCTGTACTATATGCACTCGAATCCTTTGGACCAACACGACAACCAAGAAGAACTGAGACTGCGGCTAGTAGTTCCAACTACGATAATCCAGGAGGTTCTTCAAAACAACCATGACTCATTGGAAGGTGGACATTAAGGAGTGGTGAGGACATACCAACGAGTGAGACAAGATTATTATTGGTTTGGGTTTTATGCGGTCGTCGAGAAACACGTGAAAACATGCCCATATTGTAGTTCAAGTAAGAGCAAACCGCAGCTAAGAAGATATTCTCCTGGTAACATTCTCGCCGAACGGCCATTCCAAATTGTCTCAATGGACTTCGTAATTCCGCTGCCGAAATCTCGGCGAGGTAACACTGCGCTGGTGCTATTCCAGTGTGCTTTCACTAGGTTCGTCATTGCTAAACCAATGTCGGACACCACAGCACGCAAAGTCGCTCAGGTATTTGAAGAATGTATTTACCAAAGGTTCGGGGTACCGTCATTAATAAGGCATGATAGAGACCTCCGCTTCATGAGCGAAGTAGTCCAAGCGTTTGCTGAGATGATGCAGACAAGATCGAGAGCAACACTGAGTTATCGGCCACAAGCCAAATCGACAGCAGAAAGATCAGTTAAGACGGTGATGCAGTACGTAAAAGTCTATGTCGAAGACCCACTTCGGCAAGACTGGGACGAAATTGCAGAGCACCAAGTCTTCGCCATCAACAATTCAATCGACACTACCAGCAAGGAAACACCTTTCTACTTAGTTCATCGATGGGATGCCAGTTCGACAATGAAGGCGATGACGACGTCTCATCGTGTGGCGTCGAGAAGTCAACCGACAACAGGAAATTAAGTGGTGAATGACCCAATAATATCAGCATACGAAGAGCAAGACTTCACAACAACGGGCTACACAAAATGGAGAAAGCGTCATTGTAACGCGAGGAAGCAGAGGACCCGACACGCCAATGCGGCGATGACTCGGTTACCCAATCGAAATCGAGTAAGAAGTTGTTCGAAGCAGGAAGTCGAGTCTGGCTCTACATGGAAAGAGTCAAAGCAGGACTCACGAAGAAGCTCGCTCATCGGTGGCACGGACCATTCCGTATCAAGAAGAAAGTGGACGAATTTGCCTTTGAATTGGAACTCTCGGACAAGGGCGGTAACCGGTTCTACCCACTAGTACATATTTCAAGATTGAAGCCAGTGAACGAATTCTCTAGTCGAACTACGACTCAACTAGCACCCGAAGTAGCCGAAGATTCACGAATGGAGTTTGACGAGGCGCTCCTCCCCGAAGATTCATGGGAACCAGACCACATTATGGAAGAGTAGGAAGTAGAGGCCATTTTGTATGACCGAAGACCACTTCAAACCACTACCGAAAAGCGGTGAGAGAATTCAAAGTAAAGTGGGTCGGGTACGACGAAGGCTCATGGATTAGGCTAAAGCAGGTTTTGTCCTTATTTAACGAAGTTTCGTTCGGATCCGGGAATGATGGTGACTCGTACTTACGCGAACCTTCGGTCGGACTGCCAACGGTGTGTAGAAGGGCGACCGAAGAGTGTCACATCAGGATGGGTTAGACTAGAGATTTGTATAGGAGTAGGACTCATCAATTGATGAGCTATTGGGGGCTCTCGGAGCCTCTCATTATGCAGTAAAAAGCAGTTCAACCCCACAGCTATCAAGGATCAAGTCCGTCTTCGGTAAGTTTAGCTAGCTTATCTAAGGCTAAGATACGCCTAGTTGTGTGGATGCCTGCTGACAGACTTAAAGTACATTGAACCGAGGGTCAGTCTGCTGAGTAAGGCCAAGAGGAGAGTGTAGCCGTGTATAGAACGAAGAAGATAGTTCGTTCTGTGTGTTTGTGTGTTTACCGAAGGTTCTCACACATATTAGACTTCCGACCGAGGATTCCCTCGGTGCCCCTGCATTAGGTCTGCGAAGACCGGTACCCTTCCTTCTGAGGGACTGCAGTGGGTTTGCGCGTGAGCGCTATATTATACTTCCTAGCCTTCGCTCGTGGCTAGGCGAGTTTCTTAAGGGTTGACCGAAGGTAACCCAGGGTACACAGAGGCTAGACCAACCCGGTGTAAGGGATCGTTCCTGGTCTTCAGGTATTGATTCAACAGTCGCTTTCCTTTGCGGGGAAGCGTGTGTTGTTGGTAGGAACGCACCCGAAAGTGAGAATTCTATCGTGTCCTACACGACAACTCCCAGAACGCCTACTACAATGGATGGACGTATCGTCATTACTGCTCAAACGTTCTCGCTTTCACTCCTGACGGTAGTTTGATTGGGAGCTGTGTAAATGGACCCGGAAGTTAGCATGATGTCGCTATGGCTCGTTCGCTTTATGCTATGGTTGTGCACCTGACTCCCGAAGGAAACTATGCGCTTGCAGACACAGCATTTCCTCACGACCGAGCTGATGTCGAGATTCGGATCAAAACCCCATTTAAAAGCACATCAGTCCTCCCAGGGCAACTCCAAGAACGAGGGTAGACCCGAGAGTACAGGGATCTTATGAGCGTCACCATACAGCTCATTTCGGCGCGACAAGCTGCCGAGTGAGAAACAAAAGCTTTTCAAGGATCCTTCAGCCGATTTATGTTGCCTCTGCCTGCAAACGACCATGCACGCCGACACAAGATTCTCATGGCTTGCCTTCGTCTCCATCAAGTTCGTACACGGCGTGTTGGCATTAACCAGATAAAGACGGTATACGAGAAAATTTGGCGCGGCGATGCCCTGAAAGCTCTATGGTATAAGAGCATTTCGCGCAGATGATGTTCCGTGAAATTGAAACGAACGATCGTGTAGCGCGATACTACCGTGTCGACGAAGGAATCATCAACATTTAATGAACTGCATCCAGAGCAACTCAATTACTGACTACTACTTCTGCTCTCATACTACGAGTGTGCTGCTGTGAGCCCGAGCCACGAAGCAAACTAGTGCTGGGGGAGGTCACGGGATCCAGCAACCAAAATTTCAAGTTTTGCGTTCCAATTCTCTAATCCGTGAATTTTGTCGCGCTCATCGGCCAGTTTTTCTTGTAGAACTTCGACCTTGGATATTAATTCCGTAT